AAAAAACAAAGCCACATCTTTCCAGCAGCACCTCCGTGTGCCAGGTCTGGCTTTAATCAGGGCTACCAGCCATCAATTTCATGCACAATAAAACTGGCAGAAATGAAAAGACTTAAGGAAAATGGATGAAAAAGACAACTGACTGTATGTAACACAATGTCTAAACAGGCTCCTTCCTTTCAAAGGGTTGCTGCCAGCTTGCTTTTATTTATTTTGGAAATTAAATCATCATGCAAAAGGGTTTTGTCTTAATTAAAATTTCCTGTTGTCCCAAGTGCAGATGTGTGGTGGGTGTGAAAGGAAATTAGTGAGTAAGCTGTGGGTAGAATTCTCTTTCCTGGTGAATCCAAGCAGCGATCAGTGATACTAAACTTCAGAAAGGTTCAAGTCAGTGACAACTCCTATCTGTGTCAAATAAGCAGAGTCAGAAAAAGAAAAAAGAAAATTCCCTTTTTCACATATGACGTAAGTTCAAATTAAAACCCTACAATTCAATCACATATCTAGCAGTACATGAACTCTACAGTAGAGTTGTCTTAATTTAATATTTTATTTTTTTTTCTTGGCACCCAGGATTCAAGTCAACCTTTTGCAACCAATAATTCATTTACAGTTTATGTAAATGATTCCTATGTATGAATATAAACTAAGCACTCTTTTGTTGTGAAATCTGATCACTCCTTAAAAACACCACTCTTCCTTATGTTAGATTGTGTAAACGCTTATTTATGCCAGTCCATGACAGCACATAAAGTGCCCATCCACAACTGAAAGTCACTTATTTTTATTTGTCAAAAGCAAAATATTACATATTGTTCAATTGCAATAATATATAATTCCAGGAGGCACAATTTTGTCTTAAAGGTTTTCTGAGTGTAAACAAATTACTTCCCATTAATATTTTATTTTCCACTAGATTTCGATTCCCAGTTGTTCAATTTTCAGTGATAGTCAGCTTCTTACCACTAGTTTTCTGGCCTGCTACATCTCTAAATTGCACTTCCAGGAGAGACTGTTTCTTTTCATGCAGATTGAACAACATTACTGGTGACAAAATGAGCAAAAACATTAGGGAAATTAAAAGCAATGTTGAAGTTGCAACCCATGGCACAGATCATTATATTATTACATCAACATTCATGATAGTGGAAATTTAGGGAACACTATTTGTACTGCCTGGCCCACTAAGCGTGTTTGTGCACACCTCTCATTACTTAATATGAGAGTTGTCATCCTAAGACAGCTCCCATGCTGAAACTTCTGAATTAATTCACAAGGCATGGCTTCTACACCTGTCTTTTAACTCCAGGGATTATGTTGTCACAGTCAACTAGAAACTGAACTGCAGATTCCAAAGATAAGAACTGGAGAATCTTAAAAGCTGGAGGTGCAAAAGACCTATCACTTTGTCTGATGCTTCTGCTAGAACAAGATGGTTATCTTATCTCTCAGAGTGCTTTGCTAGTTTAGTTTCTTAAGCTTCAGGAAATAGGCACTTTTTTTTTTTTGTATTCTTATACTATTACATTTTTCTCTTCCTTTCAGCCTGTATTTTCTTTTCTGCTTCCCACTCAGGAATGCTCCCAAGCCCACTCCCAAGATGAGATACGTTTCCCATCCAAAGAGTACATCTTCCAGCTCCTATGAAGAGGCTGCCTGAGTCCAAACTCTCCAACTCTGGAGAGCTCCAGAATGTGCAACGTGTTAGTGCAGGATGGCCTCACTGGTCAGCCCCATAGCAGAGCAAGGACACTTCAGCAGGCAGTCCAGGCTTGTCTCCTCCTCCAGCACAATACGAGTGCTTTGCAATGTAAAAGTCTTCTACCACAGGCATCATATTTGTATCAAGGAGAAACTCTCTGCCATCTCAGGCATTTTGTGCTAATGATCTGCCTGTGTATCTCCCAGATATCACTAGAACCCTATGCCATCATCTGCAGGTATCTCTGTGTGTCAGCAAAATGCTCTTCCATGTTATTCTATTGAAACAAACTCCCCCTCACTACGCAAGTTCTGCCCTATGGCCCTGTCTGGAGTGGGAGACCATGACAGGCATTTATGTATTGCTCTGTTGGAAAACAGAAGCAAACTGCCACACTCTCTTCAAGGGCACCAGTGTCTACTTACAGGACTCCACTGAGACTACCACAGGTACCTCATCTGGTTCGAAAGAGAAACTCATATACAACAAGACAGCAATAAATTATTCAAATCCATGCCAGACTGACAGACACACTGTCCCTACAGTGACCTGGTTCTATCTGCAGACAATGGAGAGCAAGGGTCACAAATCCACTGTGCTGGCACAAAGGTGCCTCACTCAAGTGTTATAATTGATTCTGCCCTCTTCCTTGGAAAGGAGGATAATCTCCTGACCTGACCATACAACATATGATGGTTAAGTACTTAAAGGAGGTCGCTGTATATCTCTCTTATCTATTTATTTCCCTTCAAGGGCCACACTTAGGTTTTCATCTGTGTGGCAACCAGCACTACAGCTGGTTATACAACTATACAGCTCCACTTCCCTGCTGACCATTTCCTCTAAGGAAAGGAGAAGGTGATTTTTATCCTTACCGTGTGAGCAGCAGCAGATAAGGGAGTTCTCTGAACAGGAGTGCGCCTGTGACTGCGATTATCCCACAAGACAATTTGACCAGAGTATGTTCCACCAACAACCAGGTTTGGGTGAAAGCGGGCAAAACAGACAGACATCACGGAGGACTGGAGTAAAACAGGCAGAGAAGAGAGGGGGTTATATGGTCAGTCATCTTCAATTCTCTCCTTAAGGAAATGTTGTAGTTAGTATTTTGTATTTTAGAAATCAGTGTGTGGTTCCATTCAGACACACGCAAAGAGCTAACTTTGACCTTGAAATGCATAGTTTTGTTGCTCCTGTGGAAATAATACACCACATAATGATTCTTAGCATGATGCTAAAAATCTGAGATAACCTCTCCATAACAGTTATGGGAAAGTCCTTAATTTTATTTCCGTGAGAGCTTCGAGTAACCAGGTGCCAACCCCAGAGAGGCTGACACCCTGGCCCATGGTTTGCCAACAAGGAGAGCTGTCCTGCTGTTGCTCCTCTAACTTTTAACTCTCAATTTGAGGTGAGTTTGTCAGAGACCCTTCAAAGTTCACTTCAAGGTGTGCTGCTCTGAGACCATCAGCTGGCAAGCAGCATCTCGTTGGATCAATGACTGATTTCTCTGCTACAGAGAGGTCATCTTCTAATAGCAGAGGGAATCACACTGTCCATTACACTGCTTGAGCATAAATCAGTTTTTCCTTATTTTAATGACAGGTGAGTTGCCTTTGTATATTTTCTTTAGCTGGAGATGCTGAAGAGCCAGACTGGTGTAATGGTTACTTGGCTGTCTGGTAGGAGTGGCCCACAAGCCAGTATGGAGACAAGTATCAATCCCAACTGCTGCCTTCCAGTCTCTTTAAAATAACATACAACATTTGAAGTCCTTGCGGGAACAATCCCCGGAACATTTATGTGCCAAAAAACTAAAGTCAGAAGCAACAAGTTGCAACTCCTTCAAGTCTTCCATCCTCTTTCTAAGGAATTATTTTCCATTTTTAATATAAATTACCCTGGCTGCTATGTCTTTGTTCTATGCAAATTGGAAAGGTTACAGCATTCATATAATTTCCTGATAATTCACATATTAATAAAGATATTTTTCAAACAAAATGTCATTTTTTTCATGGGCAGTTTTAGTGATGCTTACGAGCCACAGAGCAAGACTGGAACTGCTGTAGCAATTACACTCAGAAAGTTAAATTCACTGTCAGAGGCTGCATTCTTAAAATATAATTTTCTGGCTGTTTGCAAGGAGTTTTGGTAACAAAACTTTGTTATAGTTTAATGACTGGATATTTTGAAGTGGTGATGTTCCCATGTGTGAACCCATTTTACCCTATGACAAAAGGTTAACTAAATTACCATCTTTCCATTGCATAAAAAGCATTGGAGGCAGGTAGGTCAAGTTGGTAAACTGGAAACATAGGATCTGCCAAGATGAACTAGATCCAGTGTCTACCTGGCTGACAACCCAGTTGGAAAAACTTTCACACGGGCAGATGTGTTGTCTTCTTTCTCTACTGCTTCTCATCCTGATTTCTAGTGGCTAGAGACTGGTTTGAACTCTTACACCATAGATTAAAAACCCCTTTGGCTAGATTAAATTATGCTAACTCTTGATGTCTGTAACTAGGTAAATAAAAATAAAGCAAAACGTGAAGTTTATAAATAGTCTTGGTTTTTGTTTGTTCGTTTGTTTTTTAAATTCAGGTGGTCGCCTGATATCTGTTGTTTAAAGCCAGGTTAGATTCTAAATTAACTTAGTAGACATAGGATACAGCAGTATATTCAATACTGGGGTTTTTTTACCTAATAAGATCACCAAGACAACGAAATAAATTGCCACTACTTTCTTTCTTCCACATGCTCCCTGGATTCTTGTGGCTGCTCACTCGACATCTTTGATCCCTTCCCTTCTTGAATAAAGCTTTTGCAGAAGTTTCTCTGATGTTATAAAATCTAATATCTAATCACTAGATGATTAGTATACGTAATTGCCTATTTTAGTCCTTACCTATCTAAATGCCTGAGCATAGTAATTACACTATGGTCAGTCCCAGCAACAAAAGGTAGCTTTCAAACATAGTTTCCAAAAGATGTATTAGCTTTACAGATAAGAAAACCCACCTCTGAGTAACAGGACTTCGGTACTGCTAAGAGGGGCTTAAAACTCAGCTACTCTGCAGCTGCCATCCAGTTTCCACATTATACATTATAATTAAAACGACCCTACAGCACATGTTCTACATTTTATCTCTTTGTTTAATGGCTTCATGAGTTGTTTTAATCAACCCCTCTCATTCCTTATAACTTAGCTGACAGATATTCTTCCATGAAGTGAAATAGCCACATGATTTTAAAATAGTACAGCTTCACCACTGTGTACACCCCACAGCAGCTACAAGGCTCCACATGTATTTTAAGAAACCCCAATTCAAACAACCATTCCACAACAAAGTTCTCAGTTTGTCCGAAACAAACTTGGGAGACTCTGAAGCAGGGCAAAGAAGCCAAGTGGACAGTGTATTTTTAAATGTTGTGTTTTCATGGTTAGCATGTTTTTGAATTCAGAATCCCAGAATACAGTTGAATGGTCAGGATATAAACTGCTGAAGTGTGTTTTTCATAAAGTTCAAAAATAACCTACAGACATGACAGGGACTTAAGCCCTCTGCGCAGCTTCTAGTTTTACGCATCACTCCAAAGTAACTTGCATTCTTCAGCTGATGAAATGGTCATATCTTTTTAATTATGTCAGTATTACCAAGGAAAAACTTCTGTCAAATATTAGAATTTAACAATTTAAGGACTCTGCTTGATAGCACTTTATAAAGTGAGGATTTTCTTAAAGTTAATAGCAGTACTCAGATGAGCAAGGGCTGTAAGATCCAGCCCATTCATTTAACAACTTTAAAAGCATTCATTTCTTAGCCTTAATGGGAAAGAGCAGCAGACAGGTCTCCAGTCTGTCTGAACAGCTCTGCTCAATGAGAGAAGCAGAAACCATTCCCTGTAAGCCTCTTCTGCCTCCAGGCTGCCTCTTGTTTGCCAGTTCAAGCAGTCGTGCTCTTCTAAACAGAGTTTTGCCACTGACTTCAAAAGGAAGAGGAACCAGAGCATGGTCAGGTTTTAAAATAACAGCATATCCCTCTTTGCACTTCTACCACACCTTTCTAGGGAAATCTCACGGCACTTTCCAATAATGATGGTGAAGTTTCCCAGTTTTTCAGTTAGGCAGATTTTATATGCTGTAGGTGCTTAGTTATCTGTTAGCAGCTAGTTTCATGGTGTATGGCAACAGCATATAAGGAAACGTAAGAGAGATCATGTCAGAACACAATTCCATGGGAACTTAGTATCCACAGTACAACAGCAGCATTTAGAACAGGAGGTTCAG